AAAAGCACTACATTTCTGACAGAGCACTTTTATGTCAAATTACTGCAAGGTCATAAAAAGTTTCAAGTTAACTAATTTTCACCATGTAATTTTGAAGTATACAGTTTATATAATTAATGTTTTCAGTAGCATATATGAAAAGCTTTCTAATATTTCCAAACCAACCTTTTTCCCCCCAGTAGAATACAGATAACGTGGCTTTGCTGGCATTCATATTAAACATGCAATAATATGTTCTGAAACAGTTTGTAGGGTTGGGTGGACCTCAGTGGCTTTGCATTAAAGCAGCAGTTAAGAAACCAACTACAGAACAGTCTCTAGTTTTATATAAAACCAGGTCATATACAATCCTTATTCAAATCAAGCATAAGCTAGATAATTTCTATTACTTATAGAAAAGATATTTTTAAAAAGGGAACATGGACAAAGTGAAAAATATTAATGTTTCCACAAAACTTATTATAAGCATATTTACTTTAAAATAATTTATAATCCCATGAATTCATCATATAAGGAATTTCTTCCTGTTTTGAACAATCCCAACAAAATTAACACTAAATTATACTTAACTTCACTTATGCCAGAAAATATAAAATCTATATAGTTACTTTCTATTTGGGGTGTGGGAAAACAGAAGAGATAATAGTAGTATATAATTTGGAATTTTTTTCTACAAGTATTCACAAATATATAAATTAACTAAATAAGTAAATAAAGGAAAATACTGGCTACTGTTGAATCCAAGTAGTGGTACATGTAAGCATATTATATTTTCTTCCTCCATTTCTATAAATACAAAAATTTTTATGACACAACTGCTAGGGTATATCTTAAGGTCAAGTACAGGTTCAGCTGAGTCTCCTGCTTCTACAATGTACAGTCAACTGAAGTCCAAGGGGTATCACACCCAAGATATTATCTGCCTCCCCTGGCTCTAAAGGCACACTGCCTAGGTTCAGATCCCAACTCGGCCAGTTACCGGCTGCCAGTGTAATGAGAATAATTGTCCTCTACCTCAAATAAGTTCTAATGAAGAAATGCATGTCAAGTGCTTACCACAGGCCCAGGCCTGGCCCATTTGTAAAATGGTGTCTTACCACATTGTTATAGTAACCAGGGGATATACCTTCAGACAGAAAAAAAAAAATGGACTAAATGACATGACAGAAATTTGGGGTTATTCAGATTGCACAGTAGGAAAAAAAATGGTAATCCATACTGTGATAGGATCCTGCAGAGCCCCGAGTCACCACTACAGTAATAATAATCGTAACCCAACATTTCTATGGTACTTTATTACAGGCCAAGTGTTGTGTTAAGCCCTTTATATGCAGTTTTTCATTTGAATGCATATGAAGCAAGGAATTATTATCCCTACTTTACAAATGACAAAACTGAAGGTCAATAATTATACATAATTTGCTCAAGATTACGAAGCCTAGGCAATCTGCCTTCTGAAGCCTGCTTCTGACAGCAACTATTCACCTGAACTTGGGCAAGTTATATCCCATACTGGGGCTTTATTTCCTCCTCTGGAAATTGAGCGGACTGGTGGAATAGGTGCTCTTAAAAATCTCTTCTAAACTTGGCTGGATAACACTGGTACTTAACCTACCTTATTACATACAGAAAGCATCTCTACTCTAGTTCTTTTACAAGCCTGAGTTTCTCTGTCTTATATAAGTGTGGAATGACGCACTGTACCATTCCCTTGGTGGAGTGCCTCAGTGTTCCTGAGCTCTGCTGGTGAGAGCTACGTCATCACTAAGAGGTTACGGCCAGGCAGAGAACCTCACTAGAAAGTTCCACAACTAAGTCTCTTTAAATGGAATCGAAAAAGAACCTGACTTAAAATGAATTGTACCGAACAGCACTACTCCAATAGGGAAGTTAAGACGACACATCAACAAAATCAGCCAAAGCTCCAGGACTTGAGTTATGTCATTCTCCCTCTCACGATCTCAGTTTCCTTATTTATAGAAATGAAGTGGCTTGACCTGAGGTGATGAACAGACAATATAACATACAGATGATGTATTACAGAACTGTATACCTGAAACCTATATAATTTTATTAACCAATGTTACCCCAATAAATTCAATAAAAAAGTGGAAGGAAGGAAGGAAGGAAGGAAGGAAGGAAGGAAGGAAGGAAGGAAGGAAGGAAAGAAGGAGCTTTTAGATACAGGTAACCCCTAAGGAAGCAGCCACCACAACCCAAGGAACCAATCAACTTTGCTTTGTTAGAATTAAGAGAAGGGAAAAAAAATAATTAAGAGAAGGAGGTAAGGAAGCACATATGCTTGAAAAACCACACTTGAATACAGTTACTGCTTTTACGATATAAACTACAGAAAAGCTCCAAAAAAAACCTTTCATATTTGCAAAAGAAAGTAAAGCAGCATTGGAAAGTGAGGGGTAGGGGAGGCATACATTTTTTAAAAATATTAAGATACATTATAGCAGATCACTGCTGAAAGCCCCTTTTAGCTCAAAGAGTCTGTAAAATAGAAAAAAATTGGTATTCTATGAAATAAAACTCTCCAATTTACAGAAAAATCTTATTTGTCAAAATAAACCATTTTTTAAAAAGTCATCAGGACTACTTATTTTCTCACTTTTGTAGAAAAATGATTTAAACAAACACAAATGTATTAAAGTCTCTACACAAGACTCAAGGTGGTCTGTTTTTCAAACATACTTGATATACTTGTCAACACAAATCAGGTGTGATAATATTCCAAGCCAAAATACATCCAAGTTACTCCTACTCTGGTTCTAATATTGGTTTAAAACCCAGAAGCTCCATTTTAAGAAAGCAAAGTGAGACATAAAGTCCATGTAATTCTTTCTGGGGTCAAATATATGAAGATCAATTTTAAATCCAATCTCTTCTACTAATCTTTTGGCCATCTTTGCTATTCCATGGCACCATGGGAATGAAAAGACAAGAGACCAAATTCAGTTCCATCCGTCTGGCTCTCATTAGCATTGCTGGTAAATGGCCTGCTAAGGAACAACACTCTTACTTGTCAATATCTGTTTGGCAGTAACTTTTATGAGTTTAATCTCTCCTCAGACCCCATTTTCAGAGATAATTACTGAAAAGCCAGTTGTATTCAAATTCAACTCCTATGAAAAGATAACTGATGTCTACATCACCAGCTCTCAACTCCTAAACCTCCCTATGAGATTTGAGGTTATCCTCTAAGACTTGACTTGGGTTGGGAGCAACAAAATAAAAAATTGGCCTATTAGAAAAAGAATATAATGAAAAGGTAGACAGCTTTTAGAAAAAGAGGAGCTCTCCTACCAAATCTAGCACCACCACCCCCGTCTGACCTCCCTCCTCCAAAAAATAAGTGCACAGAGAAATTCCAGAAAGTATATTCCTCCTTTATCTACCAAACTGATCTCATCTTTCAGTGCCTCTTCATTTTTTAAAAAAAATTCACAAACTTTAGAATGACAAAAATAAACCTTACTATTAAAATCTTCCATTCTTGAAGGAGCCTGTGTAAACTTAAAATCCTCTCTCATTAAAAACTTTCATACGCACAATTTATGGGTTTCACGGACCCCCATGAACTGTCAAGGTTAAAAATCCCTGCTCTAGCCTAGAGAATCACGTGCTTCTCAATAACCTTATCTCCTCCTTCAAGAATGGGAACCACCCAAACATCACATCTGACACGTAAACAGCAATAAAACGAAGGCTCCAACTGTGCCTGATGGTTTAAACTACCTTTGACAAATGACGATTCTGCCATTTTTCGGCAATGCTCAAAAAATTTGTTTCATTTCCTTGACCACTCAAATTGAGTTTCATCCAAGCTCTCCTCTCTTTTCTTTTTTAACTGAGCCTAGAAACTTATGGCCGAATCAGTTTATAAGTGAAGGATAAATGTTTGCCTAAGAAAAGAAGCCCCCAGTGAACAGTCACCCTCACCAACCCTTTCCAACCCAAGATGTTCAGGACACTGCCAACCGATGTGGCGGTTCAGAAAGCAAGAACAGGATAAGGACACTCCATTCAACCTTTTTGTCTGGGGCACTTCCTGGGTTTTTCGTTGGCATTTAACACCAAAACGCAAAGCTCATTTTTCATTAAAGTTGCAAGACTTTCACTTTGCCCAGTTTCAAATGGTGTAATTGATCTGCATTGTCTTCTTAAATAACCCAACTGAAGGACACTGCAGCTTTAAATATTTCAGTGCTAGCTAGCAAATAGACTCCATTGCAATATGGCTCTGAAGGTCGCGTCCTATTGTCTCTTTCTTCTGGAAAAAAAATTTCTAAGTCTTTCTTCTAGATAACATAGGGAGAGTTACCCCTAGAATTTCCACTCTTCCATCTCATTCCCGGATAGAGTTCCAGCAGCTATCAGAATCTCACTCATAATTTTCCCGGCAGGTGCAATATGCTGATTGCTATTAATGATGCCAGAACCTTAGCAAGACATAAACACTTGTGTTCACATTAGTTTAATTGAGCATATGCAACTGTCTGAAATAGCACCACTCAGGGGCTGTTAACCTCTTCAAGAGTAGGACCGGGGTGGTTTAAGAGTGGATGGTTTCCTGCAGGCACCCTGAGCCCAGAATTGCATAACCTGAAAAGTGTAGCTACTTAAAATGACAGGAATCTCATTCTACTCATCCTGGGACGATGCAGGCACCTTGACACACCCTGCAGTTTTCCTTATCAAAGAAGGTAAAAATAAGAAAGACAAGCATGGTGAAGGAAAAAGCAAAAGAGAAAAGGCCCTTTTCTACCTTGTCAGCGTGTATAAACACGCATCTTAGAGCAGTCACAATGTTCACCCACCACGGTGCACGGGAGTGGAATAGCTCCAGTAAACTGGAGGCTTTAGAAGGGGGCAGGGGTACTGGATACTGTCCTTTATGAAGAACAAAATCAGTAGACGATTAAAAGACTGGGAAGAAGGGGCAAAGAAAGCAGGGTAGGAGGAAGGCGTGTGCAGATGCATTGGAGCATTACCTGAAATGGCAACAGATTGTTACCATTATCGGTCCGGAATGCGTTATCCTCCATCCAGGACTTGGAGGTGAGCGGGGCTGCGCGAGGGAACTTGGGCGGTGCGATCACATTGCTGGAGAAGGGCTTTTTGAGTGGCGAAATAGGGTTGAGTGGTGAAGGCACCCCAACGCCCACGCCCACTCCCACGCCGACTGCCCGGCGAGGGTCCCGGCCAGCCTGCAGGCCGCCCCAGGGGTTGGAAGGCGCACTCCAGGCGGCATTCACGCTCTGGTGCGTGTTCCAGCTGGAGGAGGCGGACGAGGCAGCAGCGGCGGCCGCGGCTGCTGCTACAGCCGAAGACGAGGACGGCTTGCTGGTCATGATGGGCTGGTGGCCGTAAGCCGCGGGGGCGCTCCTCTGCGCATAGGGCGCCTGGCTGGGGCTGGCTGGCGAGCGCCGCTGCTGCGGAGGCTGTGCCTGCGGGGGCTGCGTGGGCTGCGCTGGCTGCGGTGCAGGCGGAGGCGGCTGCTGGTGGTGCTGGGTCTGCGCCAGGCCAATCTGCGGGGAGAAGGTGCCTCCGAAGACTGGGTTGACGTGGTGCGGGAAGTTCTGGAAGAGCATGGTCCCATTGACTGGGGTGATCCCCTGGAAGAAGCTGTCCTCCACCGCATTCGTGGTGCCCGTGGACCAGGTGCTGCCGAAGGACGGCGACAGCGATGCGCCCGGTGCCCCGGGATCCTGTGGCGGCGGCTGCTGCTGAGGGGGCTGGTGGAAACTCAAGCCCGGCAGGAGCGGCGATTCCATCTGCATCTTGTCGGGGCCGTTGGGGGCCGGCGGGGCCGCGGCAGGGCTAAGTGCCGGCACGACGCTGCTGTCCTCCGGCTTAGGGGTCTCTGAGGAGAGGGGCGTGGACGGGGTTTCGGCTGCGCTGGGCTCGGACTGGGGCTGCTGCTGCTGCTGCTGCCGCTGCTGCTGCTGGGGCTGGGGCTGGGTTTTGCTTTTGTCCATCAGTAAATCATCCTGCATGGTTTGCGCAGCTGAAACGGGAAAAAAGAGAGACGCGTTATTGTCAATGTGATCCTTAATGCCCCTCTCTGAAGCGGGTGGGTGTTTTACTTGCGAAAATCCAGTGCCTCCGCTACTAGCCAATTGCAATGCAAATCCATAATCTCCCATTTAGAAGAACAGGTCGGGCTGGGGTGGGAGGGCTCGCGCAAGGTCTCTAAAAATACTGTGAGAGCGTCTTCACCCTTTCTGATGTCTTGGTTCCCTTCCCGTATTAGTGAGAGATGTGCTTATAAGACAGAAAGACAGCAATTTCGCCACGTCTCTTTTCCCTTCACCGGAACTAAGAGCGTTCACCCTGCAATGAGAAACTGATTCTGGTTCCTGTTTTTTCCCAAGCACCACCCTCCCCTCGTTATTTGCATACGTCAATAAATACTGCTGCGTCCTTCAGCAAGGTTAAAAAGACATCGCACACGACCCTTTCTTCCCCCTGCTCAGTTCTGGCACTTTAAAGAAACAGCAGTCTTATCCCTCTTGATTAGCAAACTGCCTTCTACCGCTGATAATTGTTTCATTTAGCAGCACCAAATCACGAGGGAGGAAATCCTTGGCATTTGTTAGGAGAAGGACTCAGCTGCACAATCATTCTCTGGCCTCCCAGTAGCTGCAGCTACTCCATTTTGTTAGGAGACAGGAAAAAAACCCACTGTTTTTAAAGAGGTAAAAATCTACTGAAACGTTTGGAAGTGCTTGCTGCCTGTTACTCTCTAAGGATTGGGGTTTTTCTGTCTCCAGTTCTGCCACACAAGAGATTTTTGGCATCTCAGTGTTTCAGGTCTCAACAGGAGCCTGAGAATTTCTCTGCAGACTGGAGAAATGTTCTGGCTGGATTTGAGGTCACAGAGAGAGGAAGAGAAAGAGGAAGGGAGAGAGACTGACAGACGCTGAGTGTGAGATGGGGCGGGGCTTTTTAAAAAAAATCCTTCTTTAGAAATATAGGGAAAAAAAACTAAAAAATCCTTTTGAGATTTAAGTAGAAAATCAAGATATTCCAGAGTTGCCAGATTTTCATTTTTAAGTCCTCCTGCTGCTGCCTTGGTCACAAGATTTAGGCAAATTTAGAATCCTCTCTTATCACTAGTATTAGCAGTGAAAGATCATGGTTTGAAGACCCCGAATTACCATATGCTAGCAAAAGTGTTAAAAATAGCAGAGTACAAAGTCCCAAATTTTCATACATTGTAATTATAGTACATTGCCATCACTGCTTCATTTACCCATATAAGGAGTGTATGGTATTTTCCATTTCACATAGAAGGACTATATTCACCTCTGCCTACTGCCTGTTTTCTCATTCAGAGATGAAAATAGTAATCACTCAATACCAGAGTTTCATACACATAGTTATTACTGTCCCTTAGAACATGTTACTTGTATTAAACATACTAATATTACACTGCTGAGACCCTCCTGAAAACAAGTATTTTGAAATGTTAAAGAAGCATATGACCAAATATATACTTTTAGATGATGATTCAGTATAATTGCAATAAACTTATTAATATATTTAATGCAGTTACCTAACTTGGATACAGAGAAGCACCTTTCTCAGAACACCTGTGAAAGGTCATTAAAATACCCTCAGAAGGTCTGTCTTTGGACATCCTCATAATAGCAACTGTTGTAAAATAAATGTATTGAAAGACAGTCTTGCTAGCACTGTTAACTATTAAGCCAAATTATGTCAGACTGAGAAATAGGATTAAAAGTAGTTCTATTTTATTAAAGGTTACCTTTTAAATGATTATGTCTAATCATGGGGTCATACAATTGAAACTAATATACATCAACTGTAATTTAAAAAGAAAAAATGATTAATCTTTCATTTTAAAGTTTCATACATAGACGACATAGTGGACTCAAAGAAATGCTTCATAGCTCCCTTACTCTCTCTTCTACTCCTTTCTTCCCTGTCTCCTCCCCACCAAAAAACCAACCCAATATGACATACATCATAAATTGCCTGCTACTTCCAATAAAATCGACTTAAGATTTTATGTTCCTCAGTTCTCTTGGTCTAAAACAATGCTTTGATCAGTATTGAAAAATATGACACAAAGATGCAAGTGAAGCTGGGATTCACAACACAAAGTTCTATTGCTTCCAAAGGAAATGGTGAGAGAAAGACATTTTCATACTTGGTTTAAGCAGTGCTGCAGTAACCATTATAATCTGAGATTTCAGATGCTTCCAGGGGGCTAGAATTAGCTTTACAATAGCCATATCATCATGGCTGAAATATGCATTCGATTCTAATTTCAGTATCATTCAGCTTTTCCCATGCTTGTATAAATGCTTTTTGTTAATGCCTTCAGTGTAAACTACACACTCCTGGTGGAAAAAAATAATGCTGTACTATAGCAAAAAGCCAAAAAGTAAGCTGGGCTCAGAATATATTACAAAGGCTGTAATTAATATTGATATATTTCTTGAATTTTAAAATTTTTATCATACCATGAACATCCATTTCTTTTCTCAACATTCCTTAAAGATCTAAATTTCACTTTCTGCATAAATTCACTCTGTCAAGGTCAAGACTCATCTTTAATAAATAAGACCCTTAAACAAAAGATAAGCAATAGATTAAGATAATATTTATAAAGTTAATATGCACCATCTTTCAGTGACTGTTTGTATAGTTTGTTTGTTTGGGTTGGGGTTTTGGTTGTTTGTTTGTTTTCTTTTTTCTTATTTATAGCAAAGTCAGAGAAATAGATATCTCCTTCCCCTCCCCCACCACACACACAATAGATCTTCCTTTACATGCAATCACCCAATCTCAAGTAACAAATTCTTAGTAGCAGTTACCTTTGAGTGTCCAGTTTTTAAGAATCGATAAATTTAAAAGTATACAGTATTTATTTTCTTCTTTCAGGTTGATTATGTGACCGCTCTGGCAAAAGCACTTTGACAACTGTAAGACGAGAGGGCATGCGCAAACAGGGAACTGTGGGGGCTGAAGTCCTTCACAAGGCACTTTGCCTGACTTAAGCACGTTCAGCCAGCAAAGGAGGAAGCCTCGTAAATACTGATTCCAAGGGGAAGAGGTTGTACCCGGTTTACATCATATCTTCCTAACCAATCCAAATCACGAGTAGTTGAAATAAAAAAGAGAAAAAATAAAATGGTTTATCAAATTGATTTAAAAAGCTAGGTTAAAAGAGAAACTATATTGTAGGGCTCAAAATAAATAAACCCAGCAGAGCTACCTTAAATGGTATTAGAATGGTAATGACTGGATAGCCAGCAATAGGAACTAAACTTGGCAAAAGAGATTGGGGTGAGAAGGAATAAGAAAAGGAGGGGGACTAATAGATAAAGATAAATACTTAAAATCTGACTATATGTAAAATAAACATTTTAATAGTATAGAATAAAAAAATATCTTCGTATTAAAAGTGATATTAACCTTGGAGTTCAGGTCAAAGTAATTTTCAGTCACAAATTCGTTTACTTGGGCATTTATTAATCCATTTAACCCTAAGCACAGCTCTATTAATACTTTGTACAATGGAGAAAAATAAACTTTGACTCCTAAACTCTTGTAGAATGACAATAAAAAATTAGCACTTCCCACACTTAATGTAATTTTATTGTATTTGAAAATAAACTGATTTCTACTCTTACTTCCCTAAAATGAGCACTCAGATCTAAAACAAAATTACTCAAACATAAATGCCAAGTATAAAGACCAAGCAAACAATAAATTATACGAGCCACCCCACACACACACACACACACATACACAAAAGGACCAAGAACTTGTATACTAAAATCTTGTTTTTTATTTAACCAGAAAGGAAGTGCTTTCTGAAATTTTGTCTTTAGGCTGCAGGGCATAAGCATATACCCCCCTTTGAATAGTTATGAAAAAATATAAAAACAGATTGTAGAGTTAGCTCACTGAACTATACATGGGTCAAATATATATTTCTAGGTTTCCTTCCTTTCGTTCTCTATTTATATCTCTGGCACGATGCTTGTAAGTCCTGGGTAGTTCATGGTTGCTCCATATATGCTTGCTTAATGACTAAGCGAATGACTGCATGAAATGTAGTTTTTAAGTACTGGCTACTGTGGTTTGGTTCATTGGAGCATCATGCCATGCACTGGAGTGTTGCAGGTTTAATTCCTGATCAGAGCACATACCTAGATTGTGGGCACTTACAAGAGGCAACAGATCGATGTTTTGTTCTCACATCTCTCTCTTCCCACCCCCCATCCATCTCAAAATCAATAAATGTATTTTTTTAATTTTTAAAGATATACAAGCCCTGACTGGTGTGGCCCAGTGGGTTGGGCGTTGTTCCGAAAACCAAAAAGTCAATTCCAGGTCACAGCACATGCCTGGGTTGCAAGCAGATCCCTGGTTAGGGACATGTGAGAAGCAACCAATCAATGCACCTTAATGTTCCTCTCCCTCTCTCTCCCCTTCCCCTCTCTTTAACATAAATAAAAGAAAATCTTTTAAAAATAAAGGAAAATATATACCATTTTTGATTATCTAAAACAGCCAAGGTTTGAGTAGGTATTAAATTATTCTCCATTCAGAGGTGCAATTACTTTTTCATCAGCTGCAAGAATAAATATGAAGGGGGTTGGTATAAAATAGAACATCTTGGCCCTTACAATGTTCAGCAGTGTGAAGATCATTTGATTATCACCATGAAATAACATTCACTAGACACTAATTAAACAGAGAACTTTGTTCCCATCTAAGAATCTACAATCTAATAAAGATAACACTCAACCTGTCCACAGAAACTGTATCATTAAGTTCACAGTAGCCACAAAGAGCTAAGTCCAACATGTTTAGTCAGACTTTATCGTGCTTGACTTTGTAGTGACCTTGACATAACTGAGCATATTTTTCTGGGTATACCTTCTTCCCTTGACTTCCGTCATGTTGTTCTTTCTTTATTTTCTTACATTTGGGGTCTCTCTGTCTCTTGGTCTTCTTTGCTGACTGACTTTAACCAGTGAGTTCTTCAGGACTCTACCTGGGCCCTCCTCTCATCTCACTCCATGTGAGTGACTTTCCCAACTACAAGGAAAGGACCAGGCTATCCTATTGACAGCTACATTCCCAACATCTATCACTCTGCCTAGCACATAATAAATAGGTACACAATAAACATTTGTTGAATTAAAAGTACATTTATATGCAAAGG